TAGATGGATTTTAAGAAGTCAAGTTACGATTAACATACTTGACCTTAAATAATATGGGATAGAATTTGTAGCCATTTATCTGACCTCTCTGAGCATCTAGAAGGTTGCAGTGTTGCACAATTCCAAAATCCACCGAGAGATAAGCCGGAAGGCAAATTCCCTTTTTTCATTTATTTACAGATTCCTCTGTAGTTACACCTCGTATACTAAGTGAGCATTGTATTCATTATAACATAAATTATTAAACATCCTTATCTGACACATGGCTTGTTGTAAATTTACATGTAAGAACTTTGAAATATGTTAAGGACCAGTATAGAGATTCAAATCAACTCTGCAAAAACACACTAAAGACAGACGAACGGTTGATGAAGGATTGTGTATGCATCCTCTTGATTGACTTTATCCTTTTAAAAATTACAGATAGATGTTAAAACAATGTCTCTTAATCACTTATTAAATACTTTATCATTTGTACATCTCACGGTCCTCATACCAGAGGCTCCAAGCCAGAGCAGTCCCTGACCTCCTCAGTCTCAATGTCACTTGTGGCTTCCAGGTCCAGATAAGTGACAAGGATACAAAGCTCCACTCAGAAAAAGAGTCTGATCACAGACACGGGGGCAAGTTTACATATCATTATGCCAAGCTCCAAAATATTAAGTTTCCAGACTGAGACACCAAACCGATATCATGTGGAGTAATAAGATATGGATGTTTATTTCACACTTTGACTCTTCAAAACCTGAAATGGGCATGCATGCTGCAGAGGTGGCATTACCAGCAGAGGGAGACAGTATATTCAAAGCCAAGAAGTCGGTAGTCAGCAAGGTAGGTATGATTAAGCACATTGCAGAAGCAATGATGGTACGCAGCAAATATGTGTTTACATGTAAATGTGTAATAATGTCTGAAACACTTTCCTATGATTGTTTTAATGTTGGCTTCAAATACAGTATCACCCTCTGCTGGTACTGCAGCTCACTACAACTTATTGCAACTTCTGCCTCTCCAAAGTGTGATACGACACAGCGGATTGGCGTGTCTATTACACGTTTTGTCGTGATACTGGGCTGAGGACACACTGCGTGAAGTTGGCTCATTGTACAAAATGCAGTTTAGTCTTAGAGTGCAGTGAACGGGCACTGTACATCCCCTTATAGTTACAGGACATCTTTTCTGTGAAAGCAGCTGCTTCCCAGTTGGGTGATGTGACTTTCAACAAAGAGAAAGACGCCATGCAGCACAGAGACGGTACAAAGTTCCACATCTATGAATACAACAGACAGCACTACCTGCATACAGCGAGTGACCAGTGTAAGGGTTGATATGTTAAGCAGACACAGCGTGTAATACTAGGGCACTATCATTATGATGACATTCAAAAATAGGAAAATGTTGTTGATGTTATGACAATCAAAGGTAACAAACAAACCTGCCCTACAATGTGAGGTGTTCACACAGGGCCACACACAGACCTAGCAGGACCAGCAGGACCAGAGATGGGCTTGCATTATCATTCACTCATGATTATTCCAGTGCAAAAAATAAGAACGACCAAGTGCAAGCTACAGAGAAGTTTCTGTCTGATACCCTGTATGGGCAGATTAAATGTATCTGAGTTTATGGTAAAGGATAACCAGGCAAATGATGCAATGAAGCATAAGACTTCCACGCCATACTTATCACATCAAAATGCTACTGCTGAGAGAAACTGCTGCACACCGTTTAATAGGGATGGGTACCGCTATCGGTTCTGACATAAACGGTAGTAACCAGACCGAAAAGCAGCGCACATTTTGGTGCTTTTTTTCCCCTTGAGATGTCACACACTTCAGATTCTAGCCAATCATTTTACCTTTGTGAGCGTAGTAGGCGGGCCCATGTACGTACGTTCTTTTAGAGCAGAGCTACAGATTAAAACGAAGCGGTCAAAGTCTGGCTGTACTTCACAGTAAAAGATGCAAACTCAGCAGCAACAAGTGCTTTAAGCTGATACTGTGATACTGTCAAAGGAGGTAACACCTCGAATCCGATGAAACACCTGGCGACGCATAGCGTTTTTTAAAAGCCGAGAAATGCGCCGTATTTGATAGCTTGCTGCGAGACCTCACACCGAGCACATCTACTGCGGGTGTGGTGCCTGTTATCGGACCCGGAGTTAGCAACATCCCCCAAAAACCCGAAGAGGAGAGTCCTGGCCCCTAGCCCTGCCAGTGTAGCAGAAATGATGAGGATGATGATGCAGCAGCAGCCGTTCTTCTCTGCGTGAGTAGCTTAATGTTGTTCGTGTGTAATTTACGTTGAGTAGGCTAACCACGTTATTACATTAATGCATGTAAGGTGAACTAGCAAACATCATCATAGCTACATGCGGCTGTCTTCTTGTTTGATGGCAGATACTCCCTTCACCCTGGCCAAAAAGGCTAAAATGACCAAAGAAAAAGTGGAAAACAGCTTAAACATGAGAGGTTTTTGGACAAAGTTTGTGTTTTTTCCATTGTTTAAGCACTGCTTCCAGCCAAGAGTGATACCATATATGCCCCATAGCTGCAGAAAAGGCTAACATTGTTATTTTAAACTTACTTGTAGACCTTGGTAAAGCAGCCACACTGATGTTTTAACCCTTTAAGACCTACCATAGAACCAAGTCCGCCAGAGCTTATATTATATTTTTACATGCTGTAGTGCCATTTTTGGGAGCATTTCAAGTTGATATACATCAATACAACCATTATAGCCCAAATTTTAATAATATGTATGCATTAAGTGCATAGTAATTACATAAATTGCAAAAAAGTGCAATAAACTACAAAAAAATTGAAAATCGTTTTTGTTTTTTTAACATATATTTCTAGTTAGAGAAATTTAAGAGGCTTATCCCTCAAAACTGTAAATACAAAAAAGTTGCACAAACTAGTTTCCCACCACAGGAAATTTATTTTGAGTGTCTTCATAGTTTTATTTTTGAAATACACCAATTTTTATACACTGCAGGAAAAACGAAAATAAATATTATAGTGCAAATTTGCAAAATAACAGCATATGCATCAAAATAAACTATTTCCAGCAGTGCAATATGAGTCCTAAGCATCCCAGAAACGACACAGAAAGTCATAAGTCAAACATAACTTTTAAAAACACAAGTATAGGCTCATAAGGCCACGATGGTAAAAAAAAAAACTACATTTCCGCAAAATGACGTCACTTCCGGTTTTGGGCAGGTCATGCCGGACATGTGATAGTTCACGCTGATGGACTAGGAAGTGTTACGAACAGCTGATCGGATCGGCAAAGCGTGTTTCTGGAATATTATGTTTTTGTTGCTGCAAGTGCTTTTTATGCAGTTTTTGCAAAGCTATATGTGGAAGGAAACCGTGACCTAGGACAAGCTGATGGCATAAGATGTAAGTACAACTCCTCCGGTTTCATATGCAAAAAAATTATTGCGCTAGCTTACGTGGTTGCAGTTCTACCGGGATTTAAAAATAGTTACGCAAAATGGAGCGTGCTGCTCTGGCCTGCTTTAAAGGGTTAAAGATGGGAGAATTTAGACAATTTTCCAACTCTCAGTGATGCTGCAGTGATTGTTTGACTTTGGGACCTGCAGTGGACTTTAGGCCCAGACATGGCTAATGACATCAGACTTAAAGACCGGAAAAAAACTGGACTTGAGATGTGAGAAAAGAGCTTTTGTTGGGGATGGCAAGGCCAGTCCAGCTTACATCTTCTTCCAGTGGGAAAGTGGGAAAGTGTAAATGTAACTTGTAAATATGACAGATATACGTGGATTTTATACAATAAACTGCTTGTGTAGGAATAATTACAAAACGAAAGATACACATCAATCTCTTCTAAGAGCTCAGTGTAAGATAAACGGATTACATTTAATATTATGTGATAGAATAATTTCATTAGATGCTGTTTATAAAGCTGTTAATATATATATATATATTGGTGGATGTCAACAAAGTTTTTAATAAGGGGTTCAAGTCCAAAAGAAGAAAGCCACTGTGTTTATTCCTCTGTAATCACTGCCGGTGGAAAACGGGATGTGACCCTAAAAATCATCAGCTTTAGTTTGGAGCGGTTTTACGACTACCTTTGGAAAGTGCTCTGGCAGATACAGATGAACTTTGATTTTGTTTCATGAACTCATCAAGAGGAGGTGGGGCCAGGCCATGAAGAATTTTATATACAAGTACAGTAACTCCAAATGTGATCATGTTTTCCCAATTTAAGAAACCGTACTTTGTTAAAGGTTTACAGTGATAGTATGAAATTGTCTTTTTAACAAACTGATTTTAGTGAATTCTCATCTGCTATTGTTGTTTCTGTTTACATTCAAGCATCAGGTGGTGCAGAGGTACAATGTGACATCACTGTAGACTGTAGACCGCCTGCTAACCCAGCATCCGCTGTTTTTACGATTACTGGTGATCTTAACCACATCTCACTGAACAGATGCAAAGTTTTTGCACAAAGTATATCAATTACCAGGCCTGCTGTATGTACATACTAATACATACAGTCCAATCAACCTTCTTCTTAACAGGCATTACCATAATCTAGTCTAATGTGAGTTACTGCTTTCAAATGACAACTTGTATCCACAGTGGACAGAAGAGGAACTGGAGGCACTGCAGGGCTGCTTTGAGTCTACAGGCAAATTACATACACTCTATTTTTAGGGCTAGTCTCAAGACTTTCCTTTTTCATGAAGCTTATACTTGGGCCGGGACGATGTGATCTTTTAGTAATGCTGCTGTAGGCTCAGACTACTGTGGGCGTTCTTGCTCACCCCTGCAGCATGTCAGTACATTTTTGTCTTCTTTCTTTCACTGTCTGTTCTGTCCTGTCTTTCTATGGTATAGCTTTTCTTTCCTTTCCCTTTCCCCTCACTCCCCAACAAGTCACAGCAAACAGCTTTCTGCCCTAAACTCTGAGAATATTTTGGTTATAAAGCCACTACAGTTTGTAGATTGTTGTTTATAGATTAAGCAAAATCACTATTTCACTGTGTGATATTAAAATTTCATTTTATTTTTGTTACAGAGGATGGTAATCAAATCAAGTCACTTTTATTGTCACGTCACATTAGTGGAGCAGCACATGCACACATGATAAAACCAACCTTTATTTGTCCGGTTTTAAACATTCAACATGAACCGTAAAACAAACTGTAAAAAACAACTATTTCCTCAAACAGCTACAGATGAGTGAAATGTAAAGTGAAGCAACACAGATATGGACAAGAAAAGCCTGCATCTTATAGAGGTAGATGTTACATAACAAGATTACAAATACAAATTCTTCCATTTCAATTACTTATTAAGAAAAATCCCTAAATTTGGATTTTTATTCAAACACTGAAATAAGTGGTACATGTGTTGACTTTAGAAATGAAAAGAAGCTCACTTTCTGTTGGCATGAAGACAGACGGCTCAGTGTATTCTGCACGCTGCAAAAGAAAACACGTCATTACAAAATACTTTTAAAACTAAATTAACAGCAGACAAACGTGCACTAGGTGAAACATTTTACCGTGTACAGTTCTGTGTTTTCATGACTGGTGGGCACCTGCTGTCCTCTGTGAGGGAAAATACGCACACATTCAATTGTCTTGGCACTAAGATAGAAACCGTTTGTTTAAACTAATGTACAAATAAAAGGCAGTAAAAAAGAAATACAAAAACAAGTCAGGTATAGATGGATTTTAAGAAGTCAAGTTACGATTAACATACTTGACCTTAAATAATATGGGATAGAATTTGTAGCCATTTATCTAACAATTATCAAACCTCTCTGAGCTATAATAATCTCTTACCTGTGGCATTTCTTTCTGTGAATAAATCCAAGGATGACTCCAGATATGATGGTAACTACAAGCACTCCAATTACAACATAGAAAGAGAGAGATAAATGTGTTTCTGTAGGACTGGTGGTGACTTCATGGCTTTCAGTGCCTAGAAAAAGAAAAACAAATCAGAAAAGTACGATAGGTGCGCGTTATTTATAAATCAAAATCATGATATTAACCTCTGTTGCTATAGTCTCATGTAATATATTCTTTACATTA